GTGTGTGTGTGTGTTTGTGTGTGTGGATGTGTAGTCCACTTCCTTAGAATCAAATCCGTGGCAGGGCGCAGAATCACGTCAAAGGCCAGAAAGGGCGACTTGATGGTCACCTGAAGTGCCGCAAACACAAACTGATGGTCAGGAGTGTGCAGAAGCACGGCAAGTTCGCCTGATAGCTGGCATCGTTCAATGCGATCTTGATCATCCATGGGATGGGCAGTCCGACCAAGATGTCGAAAATGTTCGAGCCCACCGACGATGACCTTTCGTCTTCCGTCGAGGCTTTGCCAGGCTCAAAAAATTTGTGAGGCTTTGAGGCCCTTGCACCGCCATGTCACCCTCGCCCTGCTTCGCCACTGCGACAGAGGAAGCGGCATCTGGGATGGAAGTCCCGGCCTCAGCCAATTTTAGGGTCTTCCTGACTGCTTGTGGTTTTAAGTCAGGGCATGCGGGCTTAGGGACTCTTAAGACAGATGCCTTTACAATCAGGTACCATGCAAAAGAAGTGTAATACAGTGTCGTACATGTCGTGCACAGCTTGGGAGGACCGAGCTGCAGCCAGCAAGGTGAAGCTCATCAAAATCGGGTCGATGTGCAAGGCCTCGCCCAGGATTTCAACCTCACGGGGGGGCGAGGCCAAGAGCGAAAAATCCTCCCGCAACCCTACGAGGGGGTTGTTGCAATTAGCTGAATTCTTTTGAGACGTCGGCCCACCAAACAAGGCAGAAGGAGAGCAATGCGATCCACACCTGCTGTTTCACAGCTGCTCTGAGGACACCTACTGGTAGTTCGCGAGAAATGTGGCAGCACGGCCAGGGAGAAAAGGAATGTCAGCAGGAAGAGCCGCTCCTTTGATTCGCAAGCATAATGCAAGTGCCGATAGAATTGGAAAGCACAGAAGCTGGGATCGCTACAAGTCTGAACGTCTGTGCCTGTGCTGTACCCGAATGAACCAGGATGCGCTGGGCAAAGGCGTGAGGAAGTAGATCGGCAGGAGCACAGGTAAGGAAATTAACCAGATCACTTGATCTTTCCTTGGTTTGTACGAGAAGCTCGGGTCCCAAAGTTGCTGACATGACCGGAACATCCTAGATTGTATGCTCGTCCTGCTTTGTCCCCACTATGCCTACAGCTTTCACCGTGGCAGTGTCGCGTCAAGGGCTCTAAGTGCCTTTAGCCATAATCGCAGATGGTTTTCGTGCCTCCTGCATTGCCCAGGATGTCCTATTATTGTGGTGCCGGGAGGCGCATTGTTAGGAAAGTCCATGAATCCAGGCTCTTCCTCTTCTTCCTCTTCTTCTTGTTGCTCGTCCGTGGGCTTTGACTCTTCGGGCGTCTCCTCCCAAGTTCCGTTTTCGACTCCACGGCAACCCACCGTTCACTGCATGCAAACAGCCGCGGCGCTGTTCTCCTGCACCTGCTGCATGCCTGCCTCGGGCAAACACCGTTTCGAATGAAAAACGGCCCACTGTACCAGCCTGATCGACACTCACACCTTCTCTTAGCCTTTAAGCAGTTCGGCACTCACTACACTTGGCTACTGTGAGAGTACCAAGCTCAGTTCAGTGTCGACATGGTTGCCAGTCTGTGCAGCTGGGCGGCAGATTGCTTGCTGCACTGCCGGCTTCGGGTTGCCTGTCAACAACACGATATGTCTCCGGGCTTCCAGGGGGCTTCGTGCTCAGAGTTGGGAAATAGAAGTTAAGAGATGTCGCTGTGCTGCCATCAGATCTAATCTATCAGATAGAGTGTTGCAACAGGACGGAGTTCCTGCCTGCCCCGCCTCATCCGATTCCGAGTGCCTCCTCTCCTGCCAGGCCCGAGCACGTCCAAAGCAACTCTGATGTCATGTTTCGGAAAGACATGCCCGGAGCTTTGCCTCGTGACGATCGCGTGCGGCCTGCACGCAAAAAAAGGGCGAGTCGCCCAGAATCTTCCCCCGAAGTACTTCATGCCCCCGGGCATGAGCAGAGCATGGTGGACGTCCCTACTCCTACCTCGCGCCCGCGCATCAAGAGATCAAGGCAACGCGAAAGCCAAAGCCGTTTGAAATGGGCCCCGCATGCTCTCTTGGACTCCTGGCCTCCTGAAGAGCGGCAGCCCGGGCTGTTCGAGCAGAGAGTCGCAGCTTCTGTGAGCGCATCGGCAATGGCTGGCTGGAAACGACGATGTCTGTGCCCTCCTCCTGTCGAAAACCCGAAAAGCACACATGTGGTTTGTGTGGTCATTGAGACATCACTGATCTCCTCCTTTCTTGCAGGATCTTTGTGAAAGCGCTCGATGCCCTGCGACGTGACCCAGGGTTCGCGGCTGGGCAGCGGCTGACTGCACAGGATCCGGGAAGAATCTTCCTCACAAGCAAAAGATGCGAGCATTGGGTAGTCCTTGAAGGGCGACCATGGTCCTCCGAACTCTTGGAGACCTGTCTTGGCCCATCAGTGCCCAGCTCCGGAACTGCCACGTCGCCGTGGGACGGCGGCCTCATCACAACATCCGAGAACCCTTCTATTGGGAAGCACCATGAGCCACCTGATTGGCATGGGAAAGCACCGGTGCTGCAAAATTTCTTCAACTGTCCATACACATGTTCAGCTGAGAGGCTGAGGGTCTGTCTTGGAAGGCGATGGCGGAGTTGTCGCATTTGGCCTGGGCTTTCTACACATCGCTGCGGAGTATCGGGATTCAACTACGATCATCGGGGCCTTTCCAGGCTCATGGAGCCTACTGTAGATAGCATGGTGGCCTCTTCCATCGAAGATGACTGGAATGCTGCAAAGTCCCGTGGTCCAGTTTTTATGGACTCTCTCTATAAACACACATATGTGTGCGTGTGTGTGTGTGTGTGTGTGTGTGTTTGCGTTTGTTGATGTTAGTTGCTAGCGTTTGGCAAGCTCTAGGACTCCAGCAGTGTTGCTGAGCTTGCTTCCTCACCCTAGAGGCCGTTGCTCCGGCAGGTCTGCCTCCGAGGTTTACATCAGACAATGAATTCCCAAGGCATGAGCATCATGTGAAAGCGATCAGCCAGACTCACTCGAGGCTGAAGCATTCTTGCGGCATTACATTTACGTGGTGGCAGGCTTTCAGGCCAAGTCGCACAACAGAGACTTGTCCTGAGGTGGTCCCGGCCCAGTTGCCGACAATGACGGGAGGCCTCTCGCCAACTTTAGCTGACAACACCCTGAACCCTAAACTCTGAGGAATGCATGCTGCCCTGTGAATCAAAATCACAATAGTAACTTAAGGCAGTTCTTGAGAGGCCCGGGTGCGCCCGGAATAGGGGTTTCGTGGGTTTTGTGGGATAGTATGCTTATGCTGCAATTATACGCCTGCTCAGCAAACCTCTGACCAGTATACTTCTTAGTATTGAGTGACTCTTATTGCATCGGGTCAGGTGGATTCTGCTGTCCGCCGATTCCTCCTCGGCTTTTCGAGCTGCTTTCGACGTCGCCGCGGTTGCGTTTAGGATTGCTCTTAGCTGTACTTCGGTCTGAGCTGGAAGCCTTAGCAATAGGATCATGCTTGGCGCTCGCCCTCTCTACAAAGGTTCCACCCAGCTAGACTTGATGTGGCAGCGCTTGCAGCTCCAGGCTGTGCAGCACATGTCAGTGCGAAAGTGCAGCATGTCTCGGGGATCCTCCGTGCAGCCGATACGTCCGGCGACTGTGGAAACTGTTCCCTCTTGTAACCTTGCGCTCCTATTTTCCTTGGTGTTTCTTGATTCTTTGTTGGAGAATTGGCATATGCCTTTCAGGGCCGTTCGAATCAGGCGCTCCAGCCACATCAAGCTCCAAATCTCAAGGCGAAGGACAGTTTCCAGTGTCAGGCTTCTGTGGGCACGTTGGATGTGGTGTGTGTCCGCAAGGGTTTGGAATTTGGATGGCCCGATCGGCAGCCCAGGGGTTCTTCATGCTCTTGAAAGCTGGAGGACGAGAGCTCCATTCGGGGTGTGGTGCCTTGATCATGTTGCCCTGGATGACATCTCATCTAATTGTTGTCGACAAAGCATAACCCAAACCCTTCCAGAATAATTTCCCGGCATAGACTACTGTCCGTTGCATGTGCGACTGCTGGGCTGAGTTGGTGTCTTTGAAGTTAAGACGGTTAAGATCCGCTTCGCGCCTAAGCCTAAGCATTGCCACGGACGCGGGGCTTAGGAAACAGATCCTTTCCCAAAGTTCCTAGAACCAGGGCAAGGCCTCGAAGGATCTGCCTCGCTGGCAGATTCCTGGCTCCTGCAAACTTCTTGATGATCCGATGACCCCTTCTTTGAAGCTCTTACTTCTGTTCCGCTGTTTCGACAACTCATGTCCTTCCACCGGCGCGGGAGCTGTATTTGTGCACCAGCGCCTCCAAGGAGCTGTTGAAATACATGATAATGCAGTACCTTAGCCGTTGAAACATCGATCCATAGCGAGCCAGATGTCGACCAGTGCAAGTGGGCGACACGATGTAGGCTACGAACAGCAGGATCGCCTGACGAAAACGCCACCGCTGTGACTTGGCACTCTCACCAGACTATGCAAGGCTGTATCAAGGTCATGCCGCGGGTAAACCGCAAACTCCTCGGGCACAACTTTACACCACAACCAGAACATCAGCGCCCCAGTCCTCCACCAGTGAAATCCGTTCGTCAGAAGCGAAACCTCTGATGAATCTTAACCTACTCATTGGGTGCAATCGTGGAAAGCTGCAGCATATCAGAGCATTTGGATAGGGTCGGATTTCAATTCATGACAAGCTAGGCTCGGCTGCACCAGAAGGATGTGGACGCATCATTAGCACGGCAGTACTGGCTTCGGGGGGGATCTGCATTGCTGCCAAACACGGTTCGGGACACCTGCAGCACGTTATGATTCAGAGTAGAGCAGTTGCAAAGACCGGGCTGAACTGCTAATTGCGTCTTTAAAGCGTGTGCCAATGTCGTGTAACTTGGGCGGCGAGGGCCTCATGCAGCCAAGCTGCCCGCCAAAAGGCTCAAGCCCAATATATAATAACTGCAATCTCCTTGGCACAGCTGTTTCAGTCGACATCCTCCGTGCTGTAAGGTTCTGCTGGCTTTGAAGGTCGTAAGGCCATGGGGCGGAAGAGTGGCCACCATGTCAGCTGGATGGGCTCCTTTGCCACGTAGCCTGCGTGTCTGCACATGCATCATAGAGGTTCGGACATCCAGCGAAGCATAACTCTCGCCAAGTCTCCGCAAAGGCCAATGACAAACAGCACATTGAATACGGCGGACCCGATAATGGTCCCGAATCCGACATCATTGTTAGCCTTGTCAGGCTGCAGGTTTCGTCAAAGATCCACAAACTTTCCTTTTTTAAGCATGGGAGCTTCCGAAATCCGGGCAAGCTAGTGCTAGCAGCCGAGTATCTATGGTCGCACCCACCAGAGACGTGAAGAGCTCAGGAGCAGAGCCGCCTGCCTGAGTTCAGATCCAGGCGATTGTAGCCGCAGCATGCCACAGCTAGCATGACCTCGTCACCGCCTCCCATTCTGAGGGTTCGATCGGGAGCTTCTAAAAAGATATGGGCGAAAATGGGTGCGTTCTTTTTGTCCATGGGAAGTTGACATCCGGAGGCAATTCTGATCGTGTTCAGCAATTCGCTCCCTGAACGCTCGAATCTCTGCGAGATGCGGCCATGAATGTAGCTCCTGCCACGTCTGGCTTGATGTGCCACTTCTCCACCATGATCTGTCCACAGATGCATTCAGCACGCGTAAACCCACCACAATCAAAACACTCAGGAACCATGAGCTCGCCTCGAGAGCACCAGTGAAGTACACCTAGGAGTCTCCGAGAGAGAAAGCCGGTGCAGCGCAAGAGAGCCTGTGCGGCCACATGCGGCCAAGCATCGTCACAAACGGTATTCAGCCCCAAGAGCATGTAGCTAATGCCGATTACCTCAGTGTCTACACGAAGCGAAGCAAGAGTTGCAGAGCACGGAGCAGAAACAAAAACTGCACCACTGATCTTCAACCTGCCCACCTTGCATCACAACTTACCAACGCAAGGCCACGGTAATCGAACCGAAACCAGGGTCAATCTTAAGGAGACATGGTTGAACTTAGTCAACCTGACATATCTCGACAGAATGTGCATGAGAAGTTTGACTACGCATCCCAACTTCAGCCAGCTCACATGCAGAAACACAAGCCAACGATTCTCATCTTCCCCATACGGCTGGGTCAGCACCAGATCAGATGGATACCTCGTCGGAATGTTCAGCTCTGAGAATTCAAGTCTTCCATTAAGTGTTCAATAAATGACGTCTGTGCCGAAAAATTGACCATTGCTACCAGTGTGATAGCCAAGGGTCAAACTCTGTAGACGACGGCTATGTGTAGCAGAGTAAACATCTGGAGGGAGACCTGACACTCTTGCGCATGATAACATGCCTCGAGGGTCCGCGTTCAAACTTCAATTCTAGGGGTCGCAAGACCCTACATTGGGTACTGCCTGAATACAGTAACGGTCTATAACAGGGCTATTTCTAAGGGCCGTATATATCTCTATTGTGAATATTATCCAACTGTTGGTGAGTGGGGGCAGTATCCAAACCCTACACTGTAACCTCTGAAGCTTACCTAAACCCTAAACCCTGACCCCTACTTCTCACAAATCCCTAAACAAACAGCCTGTCTATGGTTCGGCATCTCCTGAGCTGAGGCCCCCACGCGATGGCCATCTGTCATGCCAAATGACCTAAGCTTGGCGTGATACGAGATTGGAGCCATAGAGTAAACAGGCAGAAACAAAATTGACACACACAGAAGTATACACAAGGTATATGGGAATGCGTTCGACGGGCCACTGCGAGAGAGTCGCGTGCTTCTCGAGCCCCCATGGACGGATGTGCATGTCTACCGCGAATATCAGCGAATTTGTGTGTGTGTGTGTGCCTGCGTGTCTACCTGTGGTTACAAATGGGTGAACGTATTGTGCAATGAAATGATACTATGTGGGAAGTTACATACATGCTTGCCCGCATGCACGCCTGAAAACATTGCAAGCCAACATTAAAGTACACGGCAGTGCAGCACACCGCACTACATGATGCTACAGATTACACAGCACTACATCACTACATGGCAATGCTGCGACATCACCACATTACTGCATTGCCATGCATTACGTCATGGCTGCGTTGCTACACTACTGGTTCGACATACACCTATGCATACATGCATGCATGCATCCATCCATCCCTGCATACATACATGTGTACATGCATCCATGCTTGCGTACATACATGCATACCTGCATCCGTAATATCCGTACATATGTACATACATGCATGCATCCATATGTACCTATGTATGTGCATATACGCATACATACATACATACCTACGTACATACATACATACATATTACGTACATACATACATATATACATACATACATACATACATACATACATACATACATACATACATGAATGCATGAAGCATGCATGCATGCATACATACGTACTCGGATGCATGCGTCTGTACACTTCGTTCCAGTAATGTCATTCGTCATGCGGCCATTTAGTGCTACTTTACGACGCTCGTCTGATTTGCAGAGGCTGCAAACTAAATGTTGTATACCAGCTGTACAATACTGCACACATGCCCAATGTATATAAAATTGAATGAACTGCTCAGTAACAAAGGACACCTAAACTAGTGATAGCACACAGGGATACAGAGGTGCCTTCTGTCATTGTGGGCTGTAGCATCTCAGGTTCCAGCCACACCAACCAAGAAGACCAAGACAAGCCTGAGGGGTCCGAACTCTGAGCTTCTTTCCGAGTTCAGCGAGAGGGCGGCTTCGCAAGGCTCCATATATCTCCATATGATGATAAGTATGACGAGGACTATTCCGAAATTATTCCTTCCACATTCCACGGCTCTTGTCCCTGTGACTGTCGTATAACTTGCGCTTATGTGGTCCTGATGTGTGCGGAAAGTCGCTACTAAAGTCATTAATACGGAACCGCAACTGATGTCATCAGGGCCCTTCAGCATGCCATATGCTGAATATAAATGAATATAAATGCGTGTATGTATATCTCTCCCTCTCTCCCTGTCTCTTTTTCTGTCTCTCTCACTCTCTCTCTCTCTCTATATATATATATATCATTCATTTTCCTAAATATCCAACGCCCGAGATCTCGTTGAACAGCCCCACCGTCACATGGCAAGAATGTTTTTGGCGAGCGCAACGTGGGAGTCGGCCACAGATCAAAACTCGAACATCTCAAGTCTCAAATCGTCATCCTTCCGAACGGATGCCCCGATCGCCGGAGGGGCGCACCAGCCAGGCTGGCGATCGCTCCACATTCACCCGAACGAAAACATCAAAAGAGATATCTCCAGGCCCCTCAAACTCCTTTGGGAGTGTCCGAGATGACCGCGATCCAACCGCAAGCAAGACCTGTAGCACTGTAGCGACATCACCACGAGGGGGATTGTCATGCCTTCATTCGTTCAAGCGCATCAGCTGGTTCAGCTGTCTAGCGGCCGAGCGTGAACAAGCCACCTCTACTGTGAGGGTTCGCCTGTGATCATTGCCGTCGCCTCAGCGATCAGCTGCAGAGCATCCGCTGGCTGCTGTTGCGCCCCTAAAGAGTCAAGTATGGTCAAGTCACCTGTCTGTGTGATTCAACAGTGGGACTACGAGCTACCTTAATTTGAAAAAAGAGTTTGATCTGCAGAGTGCAAAAACTGTACAAACGGTGAGGAGGCTTCATGCTGTCTTAATGTCCAGTAAGCCTCACTACTTACATGGAATACCAAGGCTCCGGTTCGGGAGTGGAGGCCACAATCCCGAACCGAAGTTCACGATGACTCAATCCTACAAAAAGCCAGCAGATAGCAGTCAGGGAGAATGACCTGACGGCTGGTATTTGTGCCTGGGGCGGCGGCCTGTCCGTCATCATGAATGAGATGTTTGGGCGACAGATCCTCATCCTCCCAAGGAAAGTAGAAAAGCATGGTAATGCCCGGCCGTCACAACCTTGCCGATGTGCAGAACCCCTCCACACAACCTAGAGTGAGTGAATGTGACTTCACCACCGTGACCCGGTACGTCGGAACCGTGGAGTTTCTGCTGCGCTGAAAAGCCTGTCTAGACTTGCGCCCCATGTTGTGCATGCAGAATGCGACCCGCTTGAAGAATGAGAAGTGAGGGCCGGCTGCGTCAGGGCATGCACGACGTTCTAAATGGAGCTCACAATTGCTCCTGGCACGATCGCTGGCCACCACAGATCCGCGAGGTCCGATCGAATAGACCCGCGCCCCGACCTCGAAGGACGTCACGGGGACCTTCCAGCCAACGAAGACCGAGATCACGACCGACGGCCTGAACCATCCTGGTTGGCCGTTCGGATGAGGACCTCATCGCAGAACTGCTGCTGGACCGAGAGGTCAGAGTCCGATCGGTATCCTCGGAACACCCAATGCCTTCACATCCACATAGGTGGTGGCCAAGTGACAAGTGTACGGCTGCAAAACCGAGTGGGGCAAAGCCGAGCTGGCATAGGAGTCCCACTGAGCACAAGGCCCTCCGGTCCTGGACGACATGGTGAACACCAAAACCGCCTCGATGCCGTGGAGCGTGTAGTTCGCGAAAAGCGAGCAGTGGTAGCACGAATTCGGCGGCATCGCTTGATCTCGCTGCGTGAGCACATGGATGGAGCTTGCAGCATTGGACATGATCTTGCCCACGAGCCAGTTCTGGAACGGGATGATCAGTCGCTCGTCCCTGCTGTCGACCACCAACAAAGAGCTGTGTGTAGGATCATCCGCCTCGACCACAATTTTCGCCACGAGCTTGGGCACCGCGAACGGGTTATGAGCGGCAGGTGTGGCCCGATCTCCTGTTTGGCGGCGACAATCGCGTTCGTTGCCCCATCCTCCACCTGGCCAGTCGACTAACATCTGCTGCTGGTGGCAATCTTTTGGGCAGCCCGAGTCTGCGGCTGAGCTTCTGGGCCGCTATAGGGGCGGGCTGCAGGGAACGACATTGCTGGTCAGGGATCTAATCTTTTCCCACGGCGACGATAGAAAATCCGGACCGATCGGCTGATGGCCAAAATGGCCACGAAAAGAACAGATCGCGGCTGTTTCTGCGATCTGTAAACTGACCTCCTAGTCCTGATCCCTACCTGCTAGACTCATAATCAGGAGACATACCACATCCAGTATCGAGTTCCCGGAGAACAGCAAAACCTCGAGAAGTAACGTCGACTTGCTGATGCTGCCGAGCCACGCTGAAGTGGCAAAGGATGCTCTTCTCAATATTCTCAGCATGCAGTGCATGAGGACAATTGGACTTTCAAGGGTCCAGCAAGTCAAGACTCAGACTCGCACCGCAGGTTTGGGAGGATGTGCCGAGGGCCGAGCTGGCGCGGGATGCCGGGCGTGCGGCAAAGTGCCATGATGCCATTTGCTGCAAGCCGAGGATCCCCACGACCCACCCGTCTCTGCAGACTGCAAGGGAATGTGGGGGTTTCCAGCCTAGCGATGCCTAGCAAGGTCTTTCTTGTACGTGTTCGTCGGCTTGCTGAAAGGTTGGGGGTTGGTTGCAAAGTCTGCAGAGTCTGCTGTGATCAGTCCATGCTGGCTTTGCTTGTCACATCTGTCATCTGCACAGCAGGTTCAACCTCAAAGTCGTGTCAGCCAGATACGCGGTTGAGCAGAACAGAGTTGTCCAACTCAAGACATGGTGACCCGATGCCCGGACGCGGGTCTTCCGGGCTACCGATGCAAGGGTCACTTGCGCAACCCAGCTTCTGCAGTGTTTCTTCCCTCGGTTGTTGCACAACCTTAATCTGTGCATTATGGATATCTGGCAAGGTGAATGCATCGCAGCTGCCACTGCTTCACGTCCAGCTCGACTCCACTTTGCCTGTCTTCAAGCTGGGCTCGCATGTCCTGAGCCATGGCAAATGGGAACACTTCCACTTTGGCTTGGTAAGCCCGGCTCAACTTCGTGCAGCCCTGGGTCATCCATCCATGTAAGAGTCCAGCCGTTCTTCTTGCAAAGCTTCTTCACCCAGTCGGCCTGCTTCCTTCTCACGGAAAAACGGTGCAATAGCGAGATAGTGCCGCGGTGCGAAGTACTTTCGGCATGCCACATCTCCGCAGCCTGTGGCGCTCGTTTGCCACGAGCCGATCGACATGCTTTCGCAGGTCGATCTCACCATGAAGCTGTGCTTCCTGCAAGAACCACAAACTAACAAGCTGCAAGCTGATCGATAGCACATTAAGCGCAAAATTGTGAATTGTTGTGGTGCTTGTAACTCGTCCAGACAAGTCCGAAAATAGAGCATCTGACTAGACAGCTGCGTGCAAGTCCCGACAAACAGCAACGTGTATTGTCATGGAACTCATGTAAGAGCCTAAACATGCACCACCTAAAGCCTCCTTGTACATGTAGGTTTATGTTGGGCTTTGGGCTCACCTCTGGGGTTTGTTGAAACGGGGTTTAGTTTAAGATTGGCGATTAGGGCCGATTGACGGGAGTAGGGCTTGCGATTTCAAGGCTTTAGCGGCAGGCAGGACGGCGATGACTCCAGAGCAGAATGGGCTCTTTTCGTATGGCTCGACTCGTCAGGCTGCAGGAGGGGCGTTTACTACTAGTACCAGGGTGTTGTGGTTCTCAGTCTGTGTTAATGCTAGATTAAGCTGCTAGATCACCTCGCTGTAAGATGCTGCAGACTCTGTATGCGTTCCCCCTTTTCCTTGTACATGCCCCACTTCTCGACGACCTTCTCGGAATCACCAACTTTCTCATCACCTTGGCCAGCATGTCTTGGATGTAAACCTGCAGTTTTTACCTGAAGACGCCTGTTGCATTCAATCGTATTTGTTGTCAAGCAGCCCTTCTCTGCAACACGGATCGCCTCTTTCAGCTCCTGACACCAACTTGCTTGATGATGCTACTGCGCCTTCCAATCGCATGTGAGATAGCGGGAGGATGGCTGGCCTTGTCGCTGTACCTCAGCACAGCCCACTACGTTGTCAGCTCATCTAGACTGACCTTTCCACAAAAAAGGTTTGCTCAGGGCTCCACTCCAAAAGCACATGGGCATAGTAGTCCAGAACTGCGAGCCTTACGTGGTTCGTGCACACAAAGATGCCTCCGAGCCGTGGCCATGACACCTCGCGTAGTCGAGTGGCTTTCGTGCCGGCAGGTTCGCGGAATCTTGTGGAGAAAGCGTGCATCGCAAGCGGAAGTCCTTCAAAACGATGTAGGAATCGCCTTTGCAATGAAGAGGCCCTTCATGCCTACTGTCTACTGCCTTCTACTGGCCCAGAAAAGGATTCATAGCATGCGATGCAGCCGAAATGCCATACTGGCGGGCCCCGACAACGCCTCTAGGGTCGTTCCAGATGTTCTGCACTCCGTATTTCGGTCTTTCAGCCGGCTTGGCATCATCATACGCTGTGCCGAAAAGTCCTGAGATTCAAGCAGAACGCCTCGTGCAAAAGACAACTGACGAGAATTGCACGACAGCATGCCTCCACACAGCACAAATGCCTGAGCGCTGTACCGCGTTCCCACTTTTCACGAGCCGAGGTTTTCAACAACCCACCGGACGTTTTGGTCTCGAACTGATTCCGATAATGAGTGTCCTTCAGGAAAAACTGACCGGCCTGCCAAAGACGCGCCATGCCCAGTGAATCTTGAAGATTGTTGCTGCCATTACAAGACTCAGGGCCTTGTCCAAGTTGATATGTACAATCAAGGGCGCCAGCTCTCTGATCCACGAAAGCACCATCCAGAGTTCTGTGTCCGTGTACCCCAGAGTTTGCACTCCTTGGTCTCAACGAGTGTGCGCGACCCGCTACGGTCGTGACTTCCCTGCAATAGGACCCGTCCTAAGGTCAAACTGGCAAAGCTTCTCCGCTGCAACTCCGGAAGAGCTCGCTCGTGGTTTTCTTGAGCGAGATTGCGGATGTGACGAATTGCCGCCTGCAGCTCCGACAAACACATATAGTAAGCAAGCCGCACAGCGAGCGAGGCAAACCAAGACTTGGGTCTGCGAAATGAGGTTAGACTCACTAGACCAAGCGCCCCCTGAAGCTGGATAGCTTGAGGATGTACTTGTGTCTCTCTATCAAGTTTACATCTCTCTGAAACTGGAGAAGAAGCATCTTTGCTCTTGTGATGCCCTGAGAGCGCTCCTGCTGGCATGGCCGGAGCTGGGCAGCACTGTCCTCGACGCAAGGAGGACACGGAGAGCCCTCTGCCCCCACTCATGTGATGTTGCTTTCAGAAGCATTGCCATCGCTGGCTCTAAGGCACAGGCTAGCTCTGACTCACTAGCGGTCAGTCGCCAGTGGGCCTGTGCTTCCGGGTTGATCCCACACTCCTGGGGCGGCGTGCCATCCTACATGGCATGAGAAGTGGTATCGCGGAGAGCTCCCCTCCTGCATGGCCACTCGGAGATTGTCTGGATCCGTCATGGAGCCTTTGAAGCCTCCACGCTCCTGGCACCCGGATCCCTGCTGCCCGCATCCTGTCGGCTTCCGCACTGCATCGCTGGTTGTCCTGGATCTGCTGCCGTCGAATCTCGAAGAGCTTTCCTGTGCCACCTGACCACGTGCATCCTACACATCCGCAGGTGGAGTTCCCAATATTCAACACTTGGCCGGCCGACCGACTTTGCCAACGTAGCGCAAGAACTCGTCAAACTGAATTGTTCCATCGCGGCTGGTGTCCTGCAGAAATGCAGCCGCCCGTTTCAACCATCAATCACACAAAAGACTTTGCCCTACCGTCTGAAGTCGTGGGGTCTCTTCACGTTTGGTGAGAATGTGGCGCTTTGCAAAACTTGTCTTACACGCCATTTTAGTCAGAGCCGGCGCGAGACCCCTCTGCCCTCAAGGAACTGGAGCAACTTCGAAACCAAAAGCATAACGCCAGCAGGAACAACATGACAGTTCGATCGCCACCAGCCCTGTGTATGCACATGGCCACTGCAGTCAGCACTCGACCATTTGATGCGATGCTTTGTTTATGCCCCGCCCATTTGCTCCCCGTGCTTCCTTCCCCCCTCTCAGGTACATGCACGCACTTCGGTGTTCGTGTGTGCCTGCAGGTCCATCGTTTTTGGTCACAGACGGCCAGAATCCTTCACGGACTTCAACAACACCGCAACAAATGCAGGCAACCCTGTCCACTATGCTCATCAGCTTGTCCACATCCTCTTGGGTGTCTGGAAAGCCCAAGTAGTCGAGCATGAAAGTGACCTGGAGGGGTCTGCAAACACATTATAGGGTGCTTCTTCACAGGCCCCGTGGTTTTTTGCGTCTCATGCAAAGGGCTCACACATGCTTTGACCTTTTGCTTCTCGAGCTGTTGCTCGCTGGTGCCTACGTTGCGACATGTCCTGGCTTGTACAGGCAGACCTCATTTTTGGCGAGGACGCCGTCCCGGCTGTGGTCAAACCTGGGGAGAGCTCTTCTTGCAAGAGTTAACAGAGAGGAGTCCAAGCGATGGGGCATTCAAGCTTCGGTCTTCCGCAACCATGTGCAACCCCCGTTGACCGGTACCTACTCCTCGTGACAGCTTTGACAGGCCTCGAGGAAGAGCTATAGCATTTCCCGCTTCGCAGAGGCAGACACAGGGACCAACTGATGACGGGAAAACGCGAGACGCATATACCTACCTGAAACATGCGACTTGGTGGCTGATGGGCAAGTGTTGCCTCTGTCAGCATATGCAGCAATAGGTTTAGCACAGCATTGCGGCATGCCCTGCACGACTGGTTTCGGCATTCTCGTGTTGTTCAGTCAAGCCGAAGTTGCATCTAAGAGATGCTCTCGTTGAGAGGCACAGGAGTGTATAAGTGGATTTAACTTTGCGGGTGTTTCAGGCAGATTCAGCTGGACCTGTGGCATTTGCATGCGGACGGACCACAAGGCTCTTGCCTCCTTTCCAAGTTGTTACACAAGCTTCAACAAAGACCCACAGCAACCTGCACTGTGCTCATTCTTCGCTGAGCAACTTGTTGAATGCAGCTGCAATGTGTTTCTCCTCCAGATCCAGCTTCATCTGCAGGATGTCGAGGTTGTTCTGTGCCTGCTGGTGAGCTGGGTCTCTGATCCGACTACGACATGTGCCATGGCCATGGGGCATCACCTGGCAAACCAGTTTACTCAATCACTCGGTATCTTGCATGCCTGTTGTGGGGCCATGTTGTATGCTCCTGAAATTCGCCGCCCGACTGGCTGGAGGTCAGCATGTCTAGCCAAAGGACAGAGAGACACCTCAAATCGTGATTCCCATGCTCTCGTGGCACCCTTGCATGTATTTTGCCGCCGGTGCTTGCAAGCTGCATACACTGATGCTGTGTATCATCCTTCACGGTCAGCACGGTGACGTGTGCCCAGTAGAACTATGTAGCGTAACAGTAGATTGAGCGGAACTTGGGATGAAGGTTGAGGCGGAAATAATGCATGAGGCAACGGATGCTTGCCACGTAACCTTACTGACGCACACCTGCAAAATTTCATCCATTTCAGCTTCAAGAAGCCGCATTCAGCTACCAGATGCCACTAGCCATTGCCACCAGCACCAGAGCCCACGAGTTTGGAGAAAATTAAGAGGGTTTACAAAATGCTCAGAAGGCACGATGTATCGACGGTCAACCTGATGGGCCTCATCCGCGTTTCCGCTTGCGATCGACTTGCGCAGCTCGTCGATAAAGAAAGCGAGCTCGTGCTCCTAGCACAGATGCGTGTCAGTGCGCCCCTGTCCTAAAACTGACGGAGGACTGCTGCCCAGGCTTCCTTGCCCAACCGGCTCTCTGCAGGCACTTCTCTCCTTGGAGAGTAGGTATGGCCTCGATCGAAAGAGCTCGTCGAGCTGCTCCTTTCGAAGGCTCGGGTTTGCATGTGCGCGTGTGCACATTGGTGCACATCTGCTCGTGAACTATCTTCTTCTGATGCATTTCCGGCGCATTACGGTATGCAACACACCGGTTAATTAAGTACGAGTAAGTATGCATCGTCTGCTGATCAGCACCGACTGCCCGTGCAAAGCAACATCCTTGTGGGCAGTACACTGTGGTGACACTTCGACAGCGCTGAAATCGCCCTGCACGCTTTGGAATAAGACCTCGCTGCTCACCTCCAGGGGCCAGTGCTTCAATGCGATGGTTCACTTTTCTTCCATCTACATAGCTAGCACCGAGGCCGCACATGCGGCACTGCAGCGAGGACAGTAAGGGTCGCACGACTTAGTTGCTGCGAACTTGACTCAGCATAGCGGGGTGCAGCAAATTGAACACCACTTGCGGCTAATTGTAGTTGCTCATGAGGACAAGGCCTTGCCCGCTCAGTCACTCAAGTATGGCTACTTGCACCCTCCCGTAGTGTCAGTGAGAACCTGAAGCCCAATCTCCCGCACTCGGTGCTTGATCTGTTCTGTCGCTCACCCGGCTGGGGTCGAGGGCCACAAATGAGGCGCAAAGCCACAAACGAGCGATAAAGCGATAAGCCGGGGATAAGCCGGGATATAGTGCACACCTTCTTCATTGCACAAGCGCTTGTCAGGTTGGGCTTCTTCCTAATGAAGCTTTGCTTGGTCGTACTGCACCAGCTTTCATCAGCTCAATGGACTTCTCTTATCTTTTCTTGCAACCGTGCGCCGGACAAATCCGATGCAGGCCGACAGCCCAATCTTTGGGTCCATGCTCCAGTGCGGCAGAGTCTAAAGATTTCCATAGCTTACGGTTAAGCCCCGGCCATAAATGGATGCCATAGCAATGCTGCCAACAGGCCGCTTGTGGTGGCCCATGGTCTCGATTCGTGTGACCACAGGTCCAGCTGTACTACCAGCTGGCACCGCTTGCTTGACGGATAGTCCACTGTCCACTCTCGCTAAGAAGCCGAGCGGAAGGCCAGGGCGAAGTGTCTCCTGGACCTTCATTGTACTTCATGTCTCTGCCCATTTTGACTTTGCCTTCGCTTTCTGAGAATGTCGGCCGGTCGGGTTGGAAAGCGACAAAAGTCTGTTGCTGAACAAGTCATGGGCCATCTTTCCGATTGGTCAATCGAGCCTTCAAAGGGTCTCTGGTCGATTCTGTGCACGAAGCCTTGCGGCCTCATGCTGAGCCACAGCAATCGGGTGTCCCTTTCATGGCTTAGGAATCGGAACATTTAGTTCACAATCAAGCAACCTCGGCATCCCCGGCCTCTGCAGTATCTTCATGGCAGGCACACAGGGAGAGCGCGCGCTCAAACGAAAACATGCAATTTCAGAAGCTTTGCAGGCCTGTCAAATGCGTTTCCTTCCGAGATTTTTTATGGGCTCAGTGCATATTCTCACGTCAAGGATAGGGCTTCACATGGTTTTGGTTCGCTTCCACGGGCGTCCCTGGAGCCAAGTGGCACGGAAAAAGCTGCTTCTGTCTAGCTCGGTCATTGTCCCTTCGATGAGGCCGGCTGAACACCAAAACCGGAACTCGCATCCAGCTTGCATCATCTAACAAGAAGTCGCACACCAGAAGCAAAACTTGATAACCAAGACACTGAAACTGGAAAACGGTAATACCCGAAACTGACGATCAGCCCGTATACAGGCACAGGTACAGCTGCGCTACTTAGACACTCTGCACTCATAGGACTTACCGTCCTGATCCATCCACAAAAATAAGTACTGCCACATCTGCGGCACGAAGACTTTCGATTAAGAAGTTCCAACGCAAAAGGAACGTGTCCACTTCCTTGAACAAGCCTTAGGGTTTGACTTCCTGAGTTATCGGCAACCGTTCCGAGTCTTCGCGTCACCGTGTTTGCAATTCCAGGCGTCGTTATGTCTCTCGTCCTCCCTTGCTTGAGCCATTGCCGAGACCGCGTGTGTTCGCAGGAACTGGGCTGTTCTTGTGTCCGGTCATGATTACGTAGTTTTCTGCCTGTTCTACAACGAGTGCTGTGTAGTCAGCCAACTCAACTCTTCTCGTGTCCTGCTGGGCCCACGCGATGCTCATTCAGGTGACGTGGCGTTGGTACTGGGGAAGTCGTCCGAGCAGTGAGCCAACTCTGTGGCTAAACAGCATGGGGATCTGCCTTCAGCAAGGTTCGTTTGGCAATAACTAACGGACGATTAACTGCGGGATAAGCTAAATCAGCTGAATCATCACCTCTCTCGTATCGGGTTGGCAAGCTGAGCCTTTTTACTGCTGCGGGGATCTCTCACGCCTTGTTGCGGCATGACCTGCATCACGGCTTGGCACTGCCTGCCAGCAAGGAATGCGTGTCACTGCTCTGGCCGGGGTGCAGCGCAGGCTCCAAGCACAAAACACATGCGAAGGCCCACTTGCACTGCCCAGCTTCTTGAGCTTTGCTTCCCTCGGCGGCCGAAACCATTCGGCTAATCTCTACGTGACGGGTCGTTGTACGGCACCCCGACAACGGGGTTTTGCAGTGCATCCAAGCTGCCACTGCTTTGCGTCAAGCTCGACCCCACTTTGCCTGTCTTCGAGATGGGTCCGCATTTCCTGAGCAACTCGGATTCTGTGGAAAGAGTCAGCATGGAACAGCATCGGATTTCAAGCATGGAGCGCACAGTATTCTCCTGCGAAGGGAGTTCGTGGCACTTGCGACTCTTCAAAGCGTCGCCACTGCCACGAACTATGAGCCTGCAGCCTTGCGTCATCCATCCATGTGAGGGTCCAGCCGTTCTTCTTGCAAATGCTTTCCACCCAGTCTGCTTGCTTCCTTTGCTTACGGTGAGACAGCATCTACTTCTGCGTCTGGCACTTTCCGGAGCGAAAACCTTCCGGAAATCTCCCACGAGTGCTGCATCCCAGCCGCCTATGGCGCTCGTTCGCTACGAGACGATCCACATGCTTTCGCAGATCGATCTCACCATGAAGCTGTGCTTCCTGGCACCACAAACTCCAATCTACTTACACTTACACTGGCTTTGCATCGTTGTGCTGGTGCCAGGTCAAGGAATTTGCTGGCATTCGCACAACATGTCGCTTGCACGCACTAGGGATGCTTAGTGTTCATTGCCCTGTGCCATCTAGATGTGAGCGGCCGCAAGCCGACAACGCCGGAGAACTAAGAATGCCCCCCCCCTTTGAAGACACTGCTAACTTTGCATGCGTTTCCCTTTTCCTTGTACATGCCCCACTTCTCGACGACCTTCTCGGAATCACCAACTTTCTCATCACCTTGGCCAGCAATGGCCAGCATGTCTTGGATGTAAACCTGCTGTTTGCCAATTCCATTCGATCGTATTCTTTGTCAAGCAGCCCTTCTCTGCAACACGGATTGTCTCCTTCAGCTCCTCGCAATGGCTTATTTGACAATGCTACTGCTCCTTCCGAGCAAGCGTGCGACATAATGCATCTGAGGCTGTCGGGCCTTGTCGCTGTACCTCAGCACAACCCACCACCACGACAGCTCAACAAATCACTAACATTTAGACTGACCTTTCAAAGCTAAAGTGGTTGAAGACGGTTCAGGGCTCCACTCCAAAAGCACGTGGGCGTAGTAGTCCAGAACTGCGAGCCTTACTTGGTTTCTGCAACATGCCTCCGAAACGTGGCCATGGGCCATGGACGCCGAGAGGCCTTCGAGCTGGCAGGTTCGCGGAATCTTGTGGAGAAAGCGTGCATCGCAGACGGATATCCTTCAAGACGATGTAGGAATCACCTTTAGCTCCGCAAGGGGCCCTTCATGCCATCTCTCTACTGCACTCTACTGGTGCAAGAAGTGATTTGGCGCACGCGCTGCAGCCGAAATGCCATACTGGCGGGCCCCGACAACGCCTCTAGGGTCGTTCCAGATGTTCTGCACTCCGTATTTCGGCCTTTCAGCGGGTCTGGCACCGTCATAGGCTGTGCCGAAGAGTCCTCAGATTCAAGCAGAACGTCTCGTTCAAAAGACAACTGACTAGAATTGAATGACAGCACGCCTCGAGACGGCACACATGCCTGAGCGCTGCACCGCGTTCCCACTTTTCACGAGCCGAGGTTTTCAACAACCCACCGGACGTTTTGGTCTCGAACTGGTTCCGATAATGCGTGTCCTGCATGAAGAACTGGCCGACCTGCCAATGAGCGGCCGTGCCAAGTGAATCTTCAAGATTGCTGCTGCAAGAGTTCGCAAAATTCACCACCAGCGTTCAATCATGTCCTTTCGCAAGGACAACACCCAAGGCCTTGTCCAAGTTGATATGTACAAGCAATGGCGCCAGCTCTCTGACCCAAGACAGTGCCATGAAGAGCTCCGTGTCTGTGTACCCCAGCTTTTGCACTCCTCGGTTTCACTGTGACTTGTCCACCCTAGGGCCCTAGGGGGCCCAAAAACCCGAAAGCAAGTGACTGTGATCAGCTCTGAAGGCGAAGCTGCTCTTCTGCAACTCCGGCAGCGCTCGCTCGTGGTTCTCTTGGGCAAGGTTTCGAATGTGACGAATTGCCGCCTGCAGCTCCGCCAAACAGACATAGTAAGCAAGCCGCTCAGCGAGAAAGGCAAACCAAGACTTGGGTCTGAGAAATGACAACGAGGTAACTGCATGTTCTGCTGCATAAGCAGTTCGCGCACGCTGGCAACTGCACTCTTAGGACGCTCCTGCTGGCATGGCCGGAGCTGGGCAGCACTGTCCTCGATGCAAGGAGGACACAGAGAGCCCGCTGCCCCCACTCATGTGATTGCTTTCAGAAACATTGCCATCGCTGGCTCTAAGGCACAGGCTAGCTCTGACTCACTAGCGGTCAGTCGCCAGTGGGCCTGTGCTTCCGGGTTGATCCCACACTCCTGGGCGGCGTGTCATCCTACATGGCGTGAGAAGTGGTATCGGGGAGAGCTCCCCTCCTGCAAGGCCACTCGGAGATTGTCTGGATCCGTCATGGAGCCTTTGAAGCCTCCACGCTCCTGGCACACGGATCCCTGGTGCCCGCATCCTGTCGGCTTCCGCACTGCATCGCTGGTTGTCCTGGATCTGCTGCCGTCGAATCTCGAAGAGCTTTCCTGTGCCACCTGACCACGTGCATCCTACATATCCGCAGGTGGAGTTCCCAATATTCAACACTTCGCCGGCCGACCGACTTTGCCAACGTAGCGCAAGAACTCGTCAAACTGAATTGTTCCATCGCGGCTCGTGTCCTCCGACGATGCATCTTACAGTCAGCAGCTGGACAACCCAAACCTTGGTGGGTGTGATGCAGCGAAGCAATGCAACTCTTAGTCTAAGTGTGATTGCCGTGGTGCCCAGCTCTGCGTGCACCGCTGTGTGTCTGTAACAAGATCCGGCAGAGTGTCGCCGGTTGTGCATGCGGCGCGGCCCCCTTCGAGGCTTGGGGATGTCAGGGCCGGTGGCAGATCTATTGACATGCCAAATCCCTGTCAGCATTTCCTGAAAACCCGTTGTGCTTGCTGTTGCTGTGGTTGTTGCTGCTGCTGCGGCTGCTGCTGCTCTTGTCGTTCTTGTTCGCTCACGCGCTCGCTCTCTTGCTTGCTTGCTGGTGGAATGGGGACCGGGGCCCCTGGCCCGAAGGCCTATTCGCCTCGAGACGGCGACCTCCACTTGTCTCTCACGGGCTTCCATCGCTGCGATCAGCTCCGCATCCGTAGGGCCATCGTCCGTGGGTGGCTCCGGGCTGTTTGGCATCTCCCCTTCTTGCTTGCTTGCTTGGCGTACGGGAGCGAGCCCCCTGGCCAATGTTGCCCTTGGTCCGCATCCTCCCAAGTCTTCCGAGTGTGTTAGGGCTTGGGTACTACCGTTCCCCCACCTCCAATCAGGGAAGCTAGCAGCTAGCAGCCTGTTTCGACACAACCAGAGGGAGTAGTGGCCGCTGGAAGCTAGCAGCATTTTTCTTTCGCCAGGGCTGTGGTGGGGAGTTGCCTCCCTCTCTCCCTCTCTCTCTCTCTCTCTCTCTCTCTCTCCCTTGCTGCAGGTCAAAGACGCTGGCATTCCCCCCTCCCCCCCCCATTGGGGGACCTGTACGTCCAGCATCCAGCACTCCACTCGGTGAGAAATGCTGTCCCCGCTTACGCCTTTGACCCGGACCTCAACGCCTCCTCACCTCGACACCAGAACCAAACCGAACTTTGTCTCACACTGCCTTCGCCTCTCGCTCTCTCTCTCTCTCTCTCTTTGCTTTGCTCAGGGGCTTGGAGGATTGCTCGCTCGCTGTCTCTCTCTTTCTTTCATTGGGCGTAGGGGATGGGTAAAGTCCCCTGGCCTTGTGGCCCCCCATGTGTTATGGGGCTTTGGGGGCAAGTTCGGAGATCTCTCTCTCTCTCTCTCTTCTTCTTCTTCTTCTTCTTCTTCTTCTTCTTCTGCGGGGCATAGGGGCAGGTCAATGCCCCCGGNNGGCCCACCCAATATGTTATTGGGCGCCGGGGTGTGAGGAAAGAATGTAGATTGTCAAGAAGGCTAAAGCCATAAAGTATGAGCTCTCTCTCTCTCTCTCTCTCTCGCTCTCTCCATCAGCATACCAGGTCAAGCCCTATCATTCCCAGGTGTGCGCTTCACCTTTTGCAGTTGCACGTGCCGACCTTCTTCCGTGAAGTACTGCATGCACTGCAGCAAAACCCTGTCCACTTTGTTCATCAGCTTGTCCACATCTTCTTGGGTATCTGGGAAGCCCAAGTAGTCGAGCATGAATTTGACCTCCGGAGTTCTTCAGATGCTTCCATAAGTCTTCCATATCATTCAGGCGCCAACATGTCACTTTTCAGTAACGGACTGAAACATGTTTTCTCTGGGGCTTTCAAAATGAAAGCAGCCGCAAATGTCTCCACACACACTGGCCTCGTTTTTTGCGAGGACGCCGTCACCACTGTGATCGAATCTCGGAAGAAGGCTGGACAGAGATCCGAAGGACATGCAGCTAAAATCGACACAGAACTGAACAGCAGGTGGTCCGCTGGGCATGCGTAACGCCTGCTGGTTATGAAGGCTTTTTCAGGTCATGCTGGCCAAATGCCATCGAAGCAAGACTAGTCCAGACCGGGTGGTGCGACTACTCAGGTGGCAGATGGAGATATGATCCGAATGAATCCGAGCAGCTTTTTGAATGCAGCTGAAATATTCTTTTCCTCCAGATCCAATTTCATCTGCAGGATGTCAAGGCAGTTCTGGGCCTGCCAAAGGGCTCCGTCTTGGGTCACTTAGGGTCCTGTTGGTGTTGGTAGAGATATGGACCCCTCAGGAGAGTTTCGCACGCCTTGTGGCTTCCGGCCTACGATGCAGTCCAGACCCACAAGACTGAGCACAGTCTGAGCCTCCTATCTTCACGGGGGCATGAAAGCCACAAGCCTGCGCTAGAGTCTCGGTACCTTTTTGAGAAGTCTTGGCAGGGAAATACACAGTCGGCGTGGACAAAAGTCTGCTGGAGACTAGCATGTACTGCGAGCAGAGTCTGGAGGAAACTCAACTCGTGCAGGCTATGAAAAATGGCCACCACAAGCGAGTTCACTGCATCAACCCGACGGGCCTCATCAGTGTTGCCGTTTTCGATAGCCTTGCACAGCTCGTCGATGAAGAAAGCGAGCTCGTGCTCCTGGCTAAGAGTCTAAGCCCGCCTTCTCGTCAAGAACCATTTCCAAACATTCGGGAGTGAGTCTACAAACGCAAATCCTGAACCCCTTCACCTAAGCCGACTGAACCTGAAAGCCTAAAGCTGCCCAGCCATAACCTTAGACTCTACACCCTTTGGAGGCTTTAAACATTAAACACTGGTGACTCGCTAGTGGAGAAGTCAGCTCTCCTTGGACTTCAGGTATGGCTTCGATCGGAAGAGCTCGTCAAGCTGCTCCTTTCAGAGAGCGCGAGAGACATATCCAACCATGCCTGCCAAAGTTCTTTTGGATTGTGTGAATCTCGGCTAGTATTGTCTACTGCCTCATCATTACTGCCGTGATACATGCACACTCACGTGAGCGGGGTCCGAGACTGAAAGGGGCGCAGTTTCTGTAAAGCAGAATCCTTGTGGACGGCACACTGAGGCGACACATTGACAGTGCTGAAGTCGCCCTGGCCACTTTTGAAACGGACTTCTTCGCTGACCTCCGGCACAGCCATAGCCATGACAAGGATGAAGCAGAAACAAAGTCGTGACTTCGGCAGTCTGCCAGTTAGGAGGCTACAGCACTCCCAGAAGCCTGGCAAGGTGGCACACGCAAACAGCCCCTGCCTCTGCCGCAGTGTCATTGCAGATGCACAGCGAGAACACTTGTCGTAGTGAAAACATGCTTTCCGCGCAGCTCTGGGTTTACCAAGCTCCGCGAGTAGCTTATGAACTACAAAGCCTTGAGGGATGCGGACGCGTCAGCACGTTGCTGTTCTCATGCCACATGGATTGCAGCGATTCCTGGGGTTTGCTTCGGCTTCCAGCACTGCCAGCAGCAGAGATGCAGGCATTGACCCTTTTCTCTCTCTGCTTCGATGGTCTCACACCTGCTTCTGTCGCGGCCCTGCATAACCATGCCGCGCTGCACGATCACCTGGAGCATCAAAATGTCTCCAGACCTTTTCTGATGCTGCACGATGCCCCCTACATAACGCCCTGGCCTTGCAGTGACCCCCTGCCAAGAAACGGTATCCGAGTGACAGCTCTGACTGTTGTGTTCAATCGACGGTGCCTTTCGACACAAGTAGGCGTAGTGCACGCTGCCACCTCTTACTAGCCGACCATTGCCACGATGCGAGCGGAGAGCACAGGACAAAGAACAGCAAATGCTCAATGCCGTCCTGGAAGCTTCACAGGGATCGGCACCTGAAGTCCCATGGCAGGACTAGGACTAAGTAGGATAAGGTTGAAACAGTGCTTCAGTCAGGCAAGGGCCTGCTTGATGGCGAAGTTCAAGCCCTTGCCCTTGAAGTAGTCCAGCCTGTCGAACAGGTCCCATCCCATCACTCTCCGTCCTGACCTGCTACTGGAGACCGAGAGACATGAGATGCCCTGGTGAAAACGGCAAGAACACTGCAGGAACAACTGAGGAGTGGTCTGCTTCCAAGGAGTTGACTCTCTTGCGCGTGGAATCTACGTGAACCGACCAAGAGCACAGCTTTCGAACCGTAACGGGAGCTTGGGGGCTCATAACTTGCCACCCTGAGCTACATATCCTGAGTCCTTGTCCTGGACCGCAAAACCTCCGAATATATCCTGGTCGCCAAAGCTTCTACACATCAGACAAGAAACCACGCTACCCTGCAGATCTCTACAGTCAACATGAGCTGGGCAACATGAAACAGAGTGAAGCAGACAGTGCGTACTGCATGTTCACGAGAATAAAGGCCATCTTGATCCATGTTAGACTGCTGCCGTCCGAGCCTGCTGTTCGGTACACCATAGCTGACACAGAGAAACCTGAGCAAGCGAAGGCATTTGCAATGCGTTTGTGAGTGACAGCGTCAGTGGGACTTTCTTCAAGGCAGCGTGGTGATGCGATCCTTTTTTTCCGATACGGCTCTGCTCCTCTTTCGAGGATGTTGCAGCTCTCCGCTTTTGTCTCCGGAAGCCTTGGTTAGCAGATGACGAGAACAAGTCCGTCCTGCTTGCTGACCCCAAGACTGGATATCGCCGCAGCTTTAACATGGAAGACATGCAAACTCAAGATAAGCATGCTACACCTGAAAAACGTCAACACTGAGCAAGAGAATGCACAATGCTCCAAGGTTCCTCTCAGCAGAAGCTCATTCGGAAGACGTCCCATCGATGCCTTGCAACTCATTGCCTGGAGATGCGGCAGCGCGAAACCAAGTCTGTACAAAACAAGCAATGACTTGGAACCTGCTCTTTCGTGTCTTCCTCATAGCAGACCGGCGCAGCTCTCCATCTTCAAGAGGGTGTCTCGAAGGCTGCTGCCAGGGAAATGTTCCGGAGCTGGGGCACCAGCCAGAATCCTTATGGCTGGGATACGCGTGTGTGCATCCAAACACATCCACTTTGTACTGCTACAGTGACAGAGCGATGTCCAGAAAAGCGTCACCAACGTACCCAACACGAAACCTCGGAGTTTGGCGGCTGCATCGTAAGTCTGTCGTACAAGGGAACAGGCCAAGCACCGAAAACAGCTGGCCCCGATGCCGGCGAGTGGCTGATCATTGCTTTGATGTCCTGTCTTGCTTGACAGCCTGCGTAGCGACCCAGGAAGTCTTGTGGGCATCTGCTGGCGTCGGCCGATGTCACCTGCAAACTTGAAACGTGACCAACGAAATGGATCATCGATCAAGGAATGCATCCAAGCAGCGATGCCAAGCGTGTGTAAAAAGCACAACACAAGGCCAGCCAACATCATTGAGAAAAGGCCTGCGCCATGCTTGAGAGACATGCATATTCTGAGTACGCACGGCATATCCCGATTGCAGCCGAATGGCATAGCAAGGTCGTGCAGTAGGCCTGGACAAGCTTGCAAGAAGTAAGTTCACATAACTGCACACACTTCTGAACCAAACCTGGGATGTAGCAGATTTGGAAGCTTCTGACGAGGCTCGTCTTGACTGCTTGACTGCTGCTCCGGTAGCCTCACATGTCCAGAAGGCCAGGCATGATATGCGGTGCCAGTTCTACGATTGTCACTTGGTGACGTCCGTTCATCCAAACAGGCATGGCTACTGTTACCGTGAAGGCAGTACCAGTAGCTACTACTGCTACTGCACCTCCGGCACCTGCTCCTGCGCCTGCTGCTCGTGCTGCTCCTACTCTTTCTCGTACTCTTACTCCTACTCCTGCTGCTGCTGCTGCTGCTGCTGCTGCTGCTGCTGCTGCTGCTGCTGCTGCTGCTACCGCTACTGCTACTGCCACTACCCCTTTTCGAGTAGTGCTGGTGGTGGTAGCGGCAGTGGCAGTGGAGTGGCCGTGGGAGTGGCAGTGGTGGCGGTAGAGGTAGGGGGGTAAGGGTGGTGGTGGTGGTAGTAGTAGTAGTAGTAGCAGCGTAGTAGTAGCAGTCGCCGTCGTCGTCGTCGTGGTGGTGGTGGCAGTAGTAGTAGCAGTCGTCTTCGTAGTCGAATTCGTTGTTGTAGGAAGTAGTAGTGCTTGTATTAGTATATCAGGTTTATCGTCAATTTGAGCATTGTTGTTGTCCTTTGCTTTACAGTAGTGTATAACTCTCTGAGAACTATAACCATGACAGGGTGCTTCCCGGCACTATGCCAGCCCTGCTTCGTGCGCCGCGGCAGGAGACGGAGGCTGACGATCGTCAATCCGGCGGCTGGTGCGCACGCAGAAGAAGCTCCACCGAGGACTGCCCTGCCAGACAAAGAGGCCAAGCCCCTAAGGATAAAATTTAGATTCAAAACATTATGTTCAGCTTGTTTTGTAAGCTAAGGGATAGAATTGAAATCAGGATATCATAGGACTATTTTCGGCTGTTTCCGTAAGTGAGGGGTATTCGGCTTCCTGGGCAGGTAGGATGAGCTGGTTATGACACAAACTCTAATATCGACCTGCTCAACCTACTTCTAGTCAACCGAGCCTACTACGTCCCAAAGGGCCTATATATATAACATAACACTGACCGGAGCTAAAGCCTCAGCTGAACGCTCATGGCTTTGGCTCAAGCTTCCGTGTGGCGGGCCTGTTGCTGTGCCTCTGCGTGGCTCAGGCCAGGGACCCTGGCGAAGTCATACAAGGACCGTGCGATCAAGATGATGCAGAGCTGGACCAGCGCTCTCTCGAGGAGTTCTGCGATGTCAGTGACTGCATCTACCGCTTGGAAGACTTCGACCTGTCGCACAGAAAGTGCTACTAGGCTACTAATCGCCGAGCTCCTAGCCGATGAGATCCCCTATGGCCACTGCAAGAAGACGATGGAGATGTTCATGTACCAGCACATGTACATCAACCTACCGACGATCTTCAGTAAATCCTCCATGACCAGCTCCTGCTGCACCGAGCAGAGTTACGACCTCCTTCTGCAGAGCCTGGAGTGCTACGTTCGCTTTATGATCCCGGAGCTAAACGAGAAGACCCGCCCGGCAGAGTGCGTGTCGCTGTGGGCCCAGGCGCAGTCGATTTCTCCCGGCTGCACCAGGCATTTAGTAGTCAAGGTCTAGATGTTTGCTGCATCTGGGAGAAATGATACTCTAAATTTCAGTATCATACTCAGAGACTCACGACCATCACTTTTTTGGTTAAAGTGGCACTTGATGAGCGACACGAAGGATCCAGAAAAGCCATTGTTCATGGAGCATCTTCCCAGGCACTTCATGACCTTCCAACAGGCCTGCATGGGCCCCTAAACCCTCAACCCTAAGCCCTAAAACTCCTAAACCCTAAACTCTAAACCCTAAGCCCGCAACCCTTAAACCCTAAACCGTAAACGCTGCCTCCCAGTCTGGGGGTGCGAAGCCCGTTCTGCTCGGATCCTCCAAGACGCTCAACGCTCTTATGGCAGCCACGTAGGTCTGTAGTCCAAAGGGTCCAAGTACCATTCTAGTAGGTACCTAGTAGGTATTTGGGCCCCAAAAGTATAGACTATACTAGTACTTGGACCCTTTGGGAGTGTACAGAGGCATTCTGCTTCTAGTTTGCAAGCAGCACGGACGACGTGCGCATGAAAATGAAGATGCGGAGCTGTACATTGGGGCTGTGAATAGGGCTTATAAGGCTTAGCGGGTAATTCCAGGGTTTCGGGTTTAGGGAGAACTCCAGCTGTTGCTGTCTGAGCGACTGCCGCCCGAACCTAACACCTTAAGGTTTCGTGCACTCTGCTGCAAGTTTGCTGGAGAGGCTCAAAAACTCAGCGCCTCGGCATTGCCGGCTGCGAGCCGTGAACCTACCTCATCTGGCGCGCCCGAGCGTGAGAGCATAAACCGAAAGCTTACGCTGAAGCCCAAAGCCCAAAAAAAAGTCCGAAACCTTAAACCCCTCAGTCTGCAAGTAGAAACAGGGCCTCAAACAAAAGCAACCCTGAGGAGGAAGACCTGGAGGGCCAAGAAGCGACGGCAGGGATTGAGCCGGCGCAGGTGGTCTCTCCATTTTTTGGGGCTCGGGGTTTCGGGGCAGTTGTCATGTAGGATAATGTGGCTTAGGGATCTTTGTAGCGTTTTTTTCTGAGTTTCAAGGGTTTATAAACCCTAAACTCTAAACCTATTATAGGCAAAAGACCCATTATAAACTCTAAACTACCCTAATTTAATCCGAAAGTCTAGGGCTTGAACTGGCGAATCTCCCAACCGCCAATACCTCGGACCTCCGATCCGAGAAAGCCTTACAAGCCCGGTGCTAAGAGCTGCGGAAGGATGTAATCTACTACAGATGTTGGGGACGTAAACTCTGAAGGCCTAATATAGGGGCCTAAAACATTGCTTCCCTGAGCATCCCATATTGATTACAATCAATATGTTGATTTTGACGGTGCGCCAGATCAATCTAGAATATTGATTCTTGGTTCATGTTGATCAATATGTAGAAATCAACATAAAAATCAATATAGAAGTCAATATGCAGGTCTCGAAAATCACATATATATATATATATATATATCAAAAGTGTGTGTATATATGTATGACATGTATATTAATGTATATAAAGTATTTATACAATATAACAACATAGATTTTGAGTGTGTGCATGTACGTGTTCTTATTTCTTTTCTCTTTACAAGAATCGATCTTTTCTCTGCATACATTTCAAAGATATATACACACATGAACTATATATATTAACATACAAATATATTTAAAGTTGTATACATATATATATATATGATATAGATAATATAATGAGAGAAAGAGATTTAGGGCTCGAGGTTGCGGGGGTTTAGGGTTTCAGGGTCCAGGATTTTGTAGGTTTTGCAAGCTGGGGGTTTCCAGGGGGTAGACGTGTGACGTGTGCCCAACCACTGCCATTCCGCTGTTGGGGATGATCAATGGGATTGTCATTTACGTCTTCGACTTGTAATAATTTGATTTGTGTCCCTCCTTCTAACTTTAGTTTCTACGTCAATGTCCTTTTCGATTATATACCAGGGCGTCGGAGTTTCAATTGCCCCGTTTTCCCGGCCTCTTCAATGGAGCCAAGTCCATGGAAAGATATGATTTTCTGCTAGGCAGGGGTTTCTGCTAGACGGATGTTTGTGTTAGATAAGGTTTCTGTCGGACATGGGTTTCCTTAGACAGAGGGTTTGGTTAAAAGGGGGGGGTTAGGGTTTAGGGTTTGGGGGGGTTCTTCAAGACAGCTGTTTCTGTTTGACGGAGGCTTCTTCCGTGGAGGAGTGTTCTTTGGGTTTCAGAGTGTTCATTTGCACGCTTTTCTTGGCTTGGCCTGGTTCGTAAACATATGCATGTGGTGAACCCCTGGAGAAAGACTACATCCTAAACCCTAAACCCCTAGAGGCCCTAAACCCTAAACCCTAAACCCTAAACCCTGAACCCTGAACCCTGAACCCTGAACCCTAAACCCTGAACCCTAAACCCTGAACCCTAAACCCCTAAACCCTAAACCCAGCAGAACCGAGCTGCACAAAATCGCCGCCAGGAACGAGCCACGCCATCTCTCGGTCTCCCTCTCGCTGATGTCAGTGCGGCTCCACAAGAGGCTCACGTAGGTTTAGGGCTTTAAGGGTTTAGGGGTTTAGGGTTTAAGGGTTTAAGGGTTTAGGGTTTAGGGGTTTAGGGTGTAAGGGTTTAGGGGTTCAGGGTTTAGGGTTTAAGGGTTTAGGATTTAGGGTTTAAGGGTTTAGGGTTTAAGGGTTTAGGGTTTAGGATTTAGGGTTCAAGGGTCTAGGGTTTAGAGATTAGGGATTTGGGTTTTGCCTTTGCCTCTCTTGAAAAGCTAGAGAGATCGATGAAATCATACTGTTAGAGGCACTTCAGAGAGACCTCGTTCAAAAAGGGTTTAGGGTTTAGGGTTTAGGGTATATGCGGTTTAGGGAGGCTGTAGTGTCAGTGATCGGGACCATCGAGTTGCGCAAGGCTACGTAGTGGCAATGGTGGCAAGCAGTACCGTACGGATCATAGGTGGGCCCTAAGCCCTAAAGTCCCTGAAGGGTTTTCATTGCAGTCTTTCCTGCTTGGGGTGTATGCATTCGCCGGTGTGAAGTAGCATTCTGAAGCCGACGCCTGGCCTTTGCGTTCGTACTTATGGGGGATACCAGGGTTTTTGAGGCTTCCAAGCGCCATTGCAACTTTACCAGGTCGTGGGTTCCATCTACATCCGCAAACTTTATAAAGTAAGACCCCCTAAGCCCTAAACCCAAAAAGCCAAAAACCCTAAACCCTAAACCCCTAAACCCTAAACCCCCTAAACATCCCTAAACCCCAACGCCTATGTGGGAGTGTCCGAGTGTGAGCGCCGAAACTCTTTGCTGATGCGCTTCGCACATCCGGCCTGGGGCATGTGACCACTTTCAGGTAGAGCGCCTCCGAGGTGCATGCGGGAGTGACTGTCGGTATCATACTTGGAGGTTCATGGGTAGTTATAAGTGGGGTTATAAGTCCCCTAATATTGGTCATAAGTATAGTTATCGTATTTATAACCTCACTTATAACTACCCATGAACCTCCAAGTAGACGTTCACATGGACATCTTCTTCGCCGGGGCTGTTCACTGTGACCCCGCAAGTGTGGCGCCGCAGTGGCCACACACAACCTCTGCGATGGTCTGGGACGTCTTCGGCCAACCGAGTAGAAGTGCCGTGACCATGCGAGAGAGGCGAATAACGGCTTTGTCAGATGTGGAGCTCCTGACTGAGCTGGACCTGAAGGCCTGAGATCATCTGGGATGCTATGTGCTTCAATCTGCCTCACAACCTTATGATCTGGATTGCCATGTCATGCACAACGCCTCAACTACGACAGTGCGGACTCAGAACCTGGCTAACCGCTCAACGCCGAAACCGTCAATTCCTAAACCCCCAAACCCGGAAACCTAAGCCCCAAGCCGAAACCCCTAACCCCCAAGCCCTTAACCCTGCGCGATGTTTTTATTCGACCCGAAAACCTTAGCCCTAAATCAATCCTAAACTAACCCTGAACCGTGAACCCGATTGCAACCTAAAGTAAGCCTAAACCCTTCGCCCTAAAGTAGCTTGAAGTAGGAGGGAAAAAACTACTTTAGTAACCCTAAACCCTTAACCCTAAAGTAACCTATATAAGGTATCCCTAACAAAGTAACCCTAAAGTAACCCTAAACCCTGAACCCTTAAAGTAACCCTAAGCCAAGTGCCAGGAGGGCTCGGACCTAGTCCTCGAAGACGCCCGGAGGGAGTCTGAGGCCCACCCCGGGGGACTCGTTGGGCAAACAGGTTTCGTGCTGGAACATGGCACGGAGTAGGGGGCACTCACATGCATACGTATATAAAGCCGTAAACAGTGTTCATCATTACCTGTAGCAGTGTTTGTATTATTGGTATTATTGTTACTACTGTTGTTATAAACACACACAGACACACACGCACATATATATATATATATATACACATGTTTGTATACCAAGTCCCTCATTGCTTAAAAAACACATGTGTTTGTACATGCACATGCGCACATGCCTGCATACATACATACGTACATACATGCACGCCTAGCTGCATACCCACCTACCTACCTACCTACCTACCTACCTACCTACCTACCTACCTACCTACCTACCTATAACTACCTACCTACCTACCTACCTACCTACCTACCTACCTACCTACCTACCTACCTACCTACCTACCTACCTACCTACCTACCTACCTACCTACCTTACCTACCTACCTACATACATACCTACATACTTACATCGACGGGTAGAAAGAGAGGGAGGGAGGGGGGGTTGTGGGTTGTGGGCTTAGGATCTAATTTCAGAGATGTATGGTCTCAGACTGTTTGGGTTCGATTGGGATGGGGTCTTGTTCGGTTCGCTCTGGGCATCCGGCTCAGGCGCCGCAGTGCGTCGAGTGCGAGTACCAAAACAAGTAGCTAAGCGCATGTAATAACCTTTGTAGACTCTGAAGCCTTAAGACCCCCTATAAATGCCATTCCCCAGGCTTTTTCACACCCGAGACCGCCCGTTTACACCACACAAACCCACTCCAAAAACAAACTGCCGCCCTAAACCCTAAACCCTAAACCTTGCTAAGTAGGAGGCAAAAAAAAACCATAAACCAGGAGAGAAGTACCGGCCCACTTCTGGAGGAAGCTCGGCAGCCTGAGGCTCTCTGGGCGGATTTAAGGGTTTAGGAGTTTAGGGGCTTAGGGTTTAGGAGTTTAGGGGCTTAGGGTTTAGGAGTTTAGGAGTTTAGGGGTTTAGGGGTTTAGGGTTTAGGAGTTTAGGGGCTTAGGGTTTAGGAGTTCAGGTGTTTAGGGTTGAGGTTTCAGGAGTTTAGGGGTTTAGGGTTTGGGAGTTTAGGGTTTAGGGTTTAGCAGTTTAGGGTTTAGGGTGGTTTAGTGCCGAATTTTGCACGGGAAGACGATGCCGGGGTTGAAGGGGCTTTTGGGAGGCTCACGATGTGGGTAGTTCTGCAAATTAGGGTCGCTTTTTGAATCCCCAGTATAATACGGCACCGTTATATGAAGAACCCTAAAAAGGGACCCTGCTCTACAAAAGTACCCATGTAGTGACTCAGAGTGTAGGGTTTAGGGTTTAGGGTTTCAGGTTTTGGTTCCTAAACCCTAAACCCTAAACCCTAAACCCTAAAGGATTCACCTGCGTGTTTGGGGTTTAGGGATGTGCGAAGTTCTCCCTGGCTGGGCAGATCCGGGGGGGCAACTCCAGCCCTGCAGCGGGAACATTTTAGGGGTTTTGTTTTGGGGTTTTTTTACAGGGTGTGTGGAAAAAAACCTTCTTGTGAATATTGGGGTTAAGAGTGAGAAAAAGGCTTCTTGTGAATATTTGTGTTAACTGTATGGATTCGTATGAACCGTATCGAGATACTATAACAATGCCCCCCTCAATCCTAAACCCTAAACCCTAAGCCGTCTATTCCACAGCCACTGTTTTGCGGTGTCTCCGTAAAATTCTATGTGATGGTTTATAAGAAAAGCCGGGCCTGGACAATTAGCGATACTATTTTGGGGTTCCTTAATATAATTATAGCCCCAAAATCCTATTCTAATTATTATTAAGGCCCCTGTATTATGCTAGCTCAAGCTAGGATTTAAGGCTTCCGGCTTTAGGTTTTAGCTCTGCTCTGTTCCAGGAGCAATCTCCCGCAGTGGAGGCAACCGAGCTGACACACGAGGAGGAACGTCCCGGATGCCCGTTTGGGGTTCAGGGTTTAGGATTCCTGAGTCGCATGCTCGGAAGCTAGAAGCACTGTCACGAGTACAGTGTTAGCTGGCGGACGAGTGGCTACCTACCAGGCGTTATTGCTTGCAAGCCTGCAGCAAAAGGATTGCTTGCAGGCAGGGTGTGCACAACAGGTGCTTGCTTTGTACTATAGCCTGCTAAAAAAGGTCTGGTATGTGCGAGAACAGAAGAGGCAGAAAGCGGTGTGCGATAAATTGCGTCGAGCATCAGTGGCATCATCGCTCCATGACTGTAATTGGGTCTCCCTGCATAAATAAAACCCAGATCCTCAACTCTAAGACAACATACCTACAGAACCCGTAATGAAATCCATTAAACCTACGAGCTCTTCATAAAGCCCCAGTTACATCCCAAAAACTTAAACTCAATGACATCCCACAGGCAATTTATGAAAACTTTTAACGCTTCTCATGGCGACCAAGTTCTGCCGGAGGAGTTGCAGGAAGAGGTGGTCGCATCCCCAAAAGCTTCGGCATCTCGGTTGCAGCAGTGAGTTTAGGGTTTAGGGTTTGGGTTTCGGGGTTTGAGGCTTGCGCTCTCTAGGGTGTCTGGTTTTTCGAAAAACGAAGGAACAACTTCTGGGTATCGGATTTGGGCCGTATGGGGGTAATTCCTTTTTTGTGTTTGGGTTGTCGGGGTGTTTTGGGTTGTTCAGGTGTAAGGTGCCATTTTTTGTTTGAGATTTGGGTGTTTGGATGTTTCGTGAACAGTCAGTGGTTTAATCTAAGGGATTTGGCTAGCATGACCCCTGACAAAAACAGGCCAGAAGATGCAAAGAGATGTAGTTTCAGGTTGCCTGGGGTCTCGCCGATTTCCCTAAACCCTAAACCCTCGCGGATTCTATAGGCCATGCGGGTGTTCGGCACTTGAGACCAAACCCGCCAAAGCCGGAAAATCCATTCAGTCAACCATTAGAATAGGGTTTAGGGTTTAGGGTTTAGGAGCGAGAGAGAGATAGAGAGAGAGAGAGCTCGAGGTTTGAAGCTCGAGTGTTTATGATTCGTCTTCAGGGTCTGGGTATAAGGTTCGGGATGTCTGTTTATGTTTCCATAGGCTCCAGGAGTCACAAGGAAAACGCACAGCTTTTCGTCTCAGGGTTCAAACATTTCAGCCTGTCATTAAATCGCAGGCCATATGAGCGGTCTAACAGTCGGGACCAACCCACACCCCCTTCGTAATAGTTCAAATACCAATATTGATAATCATAATAGTGGTAAAAATACTAAGCATAACAGCAAACATGAAATTAATAGTAACAGTCATTGTAATAAGAAACAAATAGTTTACCTGGGCTTGCCGATTGATGTTCCAAGCGAGATCCTAACCACTGCCGCGAATCGGACCCTCGTCTCAGCGGCAAACACTGCCGGCCCAGATGGACCAGTACTTTGTTATTTTCTCAGTTTTGAGTCTAAACAAAGGGTACGGGGTTTCTGCACCACAGTTTCTATTGTATACATTCCGGGTGCCCCCACCGAAAAGCCCGAGTAATCCTTATTCGATGGTTACGGCCCCTGTTAAATAAAGCCGCCAACGAAACCCTGCTAAAACAGATCTGCGCGCGCTGCGCTCGACGCCGCAACGAAGCTCCGGAGGACCGGGTGCAGACCGTTGCAAACGGGCTCTACAGTTGTTTGTTCAGAATAATTGTTGAAGTGTTTTGTTTTGAGAGAGTGTGGGGCTGCATTCATGGTGTCATTTTGGTGGGTTTTGGCAATGTCAGGTTGTGACCTACACTGCAGAATGCGCGGGTGCGGCAGCGCGAGCCCTCTAAAGCACTCGAGCGGCAGGATTTTGAACGGCTCCAAGCTCGAAATGGTGTGTGGTCTGTCCTCTTGTGGTATCTCAAACCTTAAACCCCAAGCTGACCAAGAAGTGACGAAGGCTTAAACAAAACACCCTGAGTCTTGAGTCCTCATGTACGGGCCTGAATAGTTAGCTATATTTCTCTGGGGGTTCCTTCTTTTAATTATAGTATGATATACCCTGTTTCAGTTCTTAAGCCCCTATATTACCCTACCTTTGACAGCCTAAACCCTAAACCCTAAACCCCTAAACACTAAACCCTAAACCCATGATCGACCTTCGCAAGGACGAGGCAACCGAAGATCAGCCGACAGGCAGCTGGTGCCCTCGCCGAAGCAGTGCAGAGGAGGATGCTCCAGTTTCAGTTTCGGTATTTTGCATAGAGAGCTTAGGATATTTATATATATATATAGAGAGATCATACATATACAGACTTGCATACATACATACATGCATATACACATGGTTCAGGGCATCTGCATAGGGTTTAGGGTCCAGGTTTGAAGGGTTTCAATGTATGGACATGTTGACAAGGTGTTTGTTGCGTTGGTAGGCCAGGGGAGTTGTTCTTGAGGTTTTGGGGCTTGCGCTTAGGTTTGGACTAGTAAAAACTTCATAGAACCATCATGACGGCCTTATACAATCCCTTATGACAGGAACCATCAAAGAATTTCTTTCCTAGGACATCTAGCATGAAAGAGTCTACTAGATGGATGCTGCCTGCAGAACCTTTTAGGGTGATCATGTCTGTGGCCTCTGTGTTCGAATTAAGACTACAGGTTTATCAACACCTCGTCTTGTTGGTGCAAAATCGAGAATTCCTTCTGCTAGTGTATACTGCATTTATGTGTATCTTAAGTAATCCCTCTAAACCCTAACCCTAAACCCTAAACCCTAATCCCAACATCCACACACAGACTGTCTTCACCAGGATGCGCCCGACTTGGATGTGGCAGCACCTCAGGCGAATGGGAATCTGGCAAGCCCAAAGGGTCCAAGTACCATTCTAGTAGGCACTTAGTAGGTATTTGGGCCCCCAAAGTAGAGACTATACCCCTAAACCCTATACCCTAAACCCTAAACCCTAAGCCCTATACTAGTACTTGGAGCCTTTGGGAAGCTTAAGCAGATAAAGTTGATGCTGTTATTGAAAGTTCGTGGCTATGATGAAGGGATTCATTGGGCTGGTGGTGTTGATGGGGGACTTGCCACTGCTACTCGCATGACTTCTAGAAAGTTTGTAGAAAATGGAATCTAGTGACGATGTTGAAGGTCCGCTCTTTGGCATATATCGAACATTCAAAGCCCTGGCCGTAGCAACAAAATAGTCAGCAACTCCATATCCATGCGAAGGAACCATGAGCTGCGCGGCCTAGACTTCTGAAGACTTGCACAAGCGTCATCTTCTGGCTCAGGATGCTGCGGTGCTGAAATAAGCCCGATTCCGATTCCCTGTTAAGCTCGTCCGAGAGTGAGCGCCGAAATCCCCCTAATCCCTAAACCCTAAAACCGTAAACCCTCAACCCTCAACCGTAAAACCCTAAAACCCTGATAAAGCCTATGCTCAGGAAGAGGGCGGCGCAGCTCGGCAGGCTCGGGGGAAGATCCGAGAGTCCCGTGCAGGGCCGTGGCGCGGTAGTTTGTTCCAGGTTTTGGAGGATCTTTCTAGGTCTGTCTTAGTGTTTTTAGGGGTTTGTTTTTCGGGGGAGGGGAGGGTTGAGGGCTTTTAGGGCTTCGGATGTCTAGTTGTTTTTTAAGGTGCTTTTTTTTGGGGGGGGGAGGGCTTAAATAGCCAAAGTCAACAGCTGTTTGCGCTTTTGGGCACGTTGAAGACTCAAGGAGAACTGCTGATGACCGCCAATCCAATGCCGAAGCAGGGTGGGGTGACGGGGGGGTACATAATTTTTAATTTCTGCTATACCCTTGCTACAAGAGGATAGTATTAGCCAAATGTACTCCCATGCCTAAATCGAAGTGTACCCGACATTCGAGCCCTTTTAACTAACCTCATCGAATGATTCAAGTCAAGTTGTAATAGGGACGGCCTCAGCCAAAACTTAGGCATTCTTATCTTTTGAGAAGCTCAGCTCTGCTGGCTCAACAGTGAGTTTAGGGTTCAGGATTTTTGGGTTGGGGTTTAGGGTTTTCCATTTGAGGAAGATCGTTTGTGGCAAGTCACATTTCTGCTTCACGACTTGCGTCCGCAGCCTTGCAACAAGCCGCTTCTCAAGCTCCAGCATAGACACCAGGTGCTTCGTCATGGCCGTCATCCGAAACATCACGGCCACCATTTTGGGCGCAGCTGTGGCGAACTTGCTGCCCTTCTTCTTCCTCCAGGCCGGCATGAGCAGCGTTTCCGCCAAGTGGGCCTGGATGACCAGCCCACCCAAGTGTGCATCGGCGGCACCTACCACGTGGGACTTCGGAGGCATGGCCAACATCGCTGCCGGTGCCACGGCAAACGTCACTTGCAAGAATGGGGGCACCGCCTCGGTGGCCACCGTCTCCTGTCCCGCCACAAACGAAGCCGCCACCCAGCCCTCCCAGGACCCTGACTGGTGGGGCCCATGTGGCTTCGGTGACTCCTGCCTTCAGGACATGAGCATCGGCAGTGATGTGACCTGCACAGGGGGCACCTCCACAGACGCGGGTGGCAGCGTCCGCGTCGCCGTGTCCGGTGCATCGGCTGTGGTGGGACTGCTGGTGCTGCAGTGAGCAGGGCGGAGCAGAGTGCTTCTGCTTTGTGCAGAGCTGTGACCTTGTTCCGTGCTTCAGATCACCAAAGACACCGTTCTAACGTATGACCGGCACACCTCATGGTGGTAGTTGACTCTGTCTTCTGTTGCTTAAACTTTGTTCCTTCCAGGGTGCAGCTCTGCCTTTCGACGAGCTTGCTGGATTCAAGGGCCTGGAGGCTTACAGGATTCTGGGCAGAGGGGCGAAACTGTAGTTGTGCGGGCATATGTTTGCGGCCGCCTAGCTGGGCCTGATGATGATGAAGATGATAATGATGATGATGATGATGGTGATGTTAAGATCAACAGGCAAAATCTCGTCATCATCATGCTGTTGATGAATGGACCTCGCTCTTGATGATGAGGGGTGTCGGGGCATGATGATCCCGTTGATGTTAATGATGGGTTGATTGTAATGGTGGCGAGCATGACCTATGCGATGAAGAAGGCACAAAGATAATGGTGTGATGGTCATGGTAACGAGTTTGCCACTGCAAGGTGCCATTTCTGACCTTGTCCGTTTCCATTACGGACTTCTGGAGGTGCTAATCACAAATACATTGGGTGTCCTGAAGAAGTATCCCACATCTGTGGCGCCTGAACTAAACCCTAAACCCTAAACCCTAGAAATCGTCCTCTCGCCCCGGACAAGTTGTCCCGTGTCCTCGGATCCTGGACGCAGCTTGGAGCCGTTGCAGGCTCTTAGTCTGGGCCGCTGCACAAACGGGCTCAGTTTTTGTTCTTTAGTTCCTGTGTCTTAGGGTTTAGGGTTTAGGGTCGGACAGGGATAAAGGGGGCTTT